AAGCAGCCGCAGAGGCGGGTTAGTCACGCTCTCTACCTGGCTGGCCGTGACGGAGGGCACAGAGGTCTCATGCTGCTCCAGCAGCTCCTTGTTCCTCCTCTTCTTGCCCTTGCCCTTCCGCTTGCCTTTCCCCTTTCCCTTCTTGCCCTTCCTACGTGGGGCAGCGGTGGGCTCCGGGCTGCTCTGCAAGGGGCAGCGCAGACGCCGGCAAGGAGAGAAACGTGGGCGTCAGGGGCCCTGGCAGCTCCCCCCACGGTGACACCAAGCCTGGCAGTATCCCTGTGGGCTGCCTGGCAGGGTGGGGGCTCCCAAGGGTCCCCCCAGCCTTTCCCCTTCCCAGCTTGAGTGCTTACCTCCTCCGGGAAGGGGGCTAGGAGGGGGTAGAGCAGGGGCTGGTCGCAGCCTGGCATGTAGAGATGGCAGTAGGAGTGGGCAGCCTCGGGGTCAGCCACAATCAGCAGCTGCTGGACATCACCCTGTGGCAGAGAAGAAGGGGGGAGCACGAGGGAGTGGGTTTTCTGCCCCCCCCCCCCCATATCTGCACCCCGAGCCAATCAGGTGTCCACGCACACCCCAGACATGCGTGCAAGAGCCGGTGCTCGTGGCCAGCCCTGTCCCTGCAGTAGCCGGCCGGTCCGTGGGTGGCTTGGGGCAGCCAGTGTGGACACCCCCTCGGCCGGGTGGAGGGTGCAGGGGGTGGCGAGTGAACAAAGGGACCCTTGTCTGCCTGCTGGGGACAAAATGGGGGGGGCAGCCCCACTCGCCTCGCTGCCTCAATGCTGCCTCTTTGCTCGTGGCCCCTGACATTTGCAGTGGGCAGGAATGTAGGGAGAGGAACCAGGGCACCCCACAGGGACAGAAAGCAGCCCCCAGTGCAACTGGGGCCTCTACCGACCACGGCAACCGGGTCCCCCCGCCTTCCCCGGACCCCTCACCACCAGGGCAAGGATGCTGTGGGACAGCCAGGGCCTCTGGCACATGGATTTGGGGAGGGACCCACCTCGAACACCTCCTCATCCAGGAGGCGGGCCCCAAAAATCGTCACCCCCTCAGTGCTAACGAGGGGCTGAGGTCCCCGCTCCAGCGGCAGCGTGGCGAGGAGGGGACAATCCACCAGCAAGGAGACGTTGGTGCCCTTCACGGCCAATGCCACGCGGTGCCACCTGCGGAGACGGGACTCGGTCGCAGTGAGAGGGGCCGGAGAGACCCCCTGTCCCCCCCTCCGGCACTCACCTGCCATCGGCCAGGTTGACCCTGCGGAAGACGGGGTACTGCTCGGGGGCCGGCCGGCCCTCCTGGTCCTCATAGAGGAAGACGGGCGAGAGTCCAATCTCCATGCCCAGCTGCTGCACGCCTCGCTCATCGTAGATGGAGAGCAGGAAGGCTTGTCCTCCACGCCGAGCACGCACTGTGGCCAGGATGGAGAAGTCCTCAGGGAAGGAGCCACCTGCAGCAGGGAGGAAAAGGAGCAACCATCAAGCTAAGCCCCCCCGATGCACCCCGAGAGGTGGCTCTGCACCCTGAAAGGGGATGCTCGCCCTTGGAGCGGCTCGGTTTGCACCCCACAATGGGCTCGGCGGCCCTGCGGCCACCCGGTGCCGTACCAGGGAAGAGCTGCCTGGTGGGTGCGCTGAGCTGGGTGCGGTTGTCCACGCGGAAAGCGAAATCAGGGTCTTCGGTCCCTGGGCGCTGCGGGCAGATCCCAGCAGTGACGGAGACGCCATCCCGGCCGTCCTGCATGCCCAGCATTTGCAGCACGTCCACGGGCACCGCTGCAGGGCAAGAGGGGACCCTTCAGGGGGTGGGGACCCACCGGAGACACCCCAGCCGTTGTCTGTGCTTCCAGCCGGGGACCGCGGCTGCATCCCCATCCCCCTGCCTGCCTCCTGCCAAGCCGGGCCGGCCCGGTGCCAGGCAGCTGTGTGGGCCCAAGGTCCGGTCCCGCAGCCGCCAGATTCCTTCGCCGCATTCCTCCGCCCCCGGCCCTGCTCTGCACCCCACGGCACGGCTGCACCCCATGGGGCGGGAGGGCTCCGTCACCCATGGGAGATCCCTGTCACCCCCTAAGCACAGCCTGGCTGCACCCAACTGGGGGCCTGGGGAGACGGTTGGGGGTGCTGCCCTCTCTCCGCAGGGAGCCGGACCCCAATCGTCGCCTGCGCCTGGGCGCTTGGAGGGTTAATCCGGCACAGCCAGGTGTGTATGGGGGGGTGCGGGCTGGGGGCTATGACTGCAGCCACATCAGAGAGCACCAGGGCCCCCCCCAGCCCGGGGCTGCACCCACCCTCCCTGCCAGAAAGGCCTGTCCGGGCAGGCCAGGCAGGGGGATCCAGGGGGGCAGCAATTCCTCCCGAGGCTCCCCAAACTGCCCCCAGCCCCCCCCCCCCCCCCCCCCCCCCAGCCTGGCTGGGGCACCCCAAGCATAAGCGGGGACATGGTAGGACAGGACCAGGCTGGGAACTGGCTGACCCCGCTCTGGTCAAGCCATCTCTCAGGCCCTTCTGACCCCGGCACATGGGTCCGGCTTCCTGCCGGCGCTCCCCGGGGAGAGCCATCACCCGGCCATGGCGTGCCGGGGTGGATAGGGACCCCCCCCACGATCTGGGAACCCCCAGTACAGGGTTGGTGGGTGGCCCTGGAGTGGCTGTACCGGCCAAGCCCCTCCAGACTCCAGACCCGGGCGTGTGCGGCATGGGTGACTCAGGGAGCTGGGAGGGGGGGACAGGGGTGCCGGTGGCTCGGCATCGCTCCTGGTAAAGCCAAGGGGTAGGGTAGGGTGCGGCAAAGCTGGTGGGAGTGGGACGAGGGGCCCCCCCCCAGCCCCCCATGGCCTCCGGGAGCCCGTGCCAGTGCTTATCCCCATTATTTACGCTTCAGGTGGTTCCCCAGACTCCCCCCCTCCGTTGCCCCCCCAGGCCAGCCAGGGGACCCAGGCACCCGGGGCTCCCCACCCCGCCTGCTCCCCCGTCCCAGGGGCAGCAACCCCACCAAGCGACCCGGGGGATTACACCCCTGCCCCGGGGGGTGCACCCCCTCCCTACAGGGAGCACCCCCACCGAGGGACCCGGGGGGAGCACCCCTGCCCCTGGGAGAGCACCCCCACCCACAGCCCCGTGGGGTGCACCCCTACCAGGGGACCCACAGGGAGCACCCTCGCCCTGGGGGGGAGCACCCCTGTCCCACGGGGAGCACCCCCACCAAGGGACCCGGGGGGAGCACCCCTGCCCCTGGGAGAGCACCCCCACCCACAGCCCCGTGGGGGGCACCCCT